CCATAAATATATATCTTATGTTCTTAAAAAAAAAAATAGTTTAGATGAAAGTTATGATTGTGACAAAAAAAAGAAAGATGAAAATTGTGATTTTAATGAAGAGTTTTTTTTTCTATTTTAGAGAGATTAATGTGATTTTGAATATTTTATCTTGTTAGATTTATTAGTGAGTGATCAAGAACAATTTATCGAAAAAATTATGATTTGAACATTTTATAATTATGATAGGTTATTAAGTTTTAATTAGAAAGGTTTAAATTATTGATATATTTCGTAATTTTAGTTACTAAAATATCATTTTTTAATTTATTATATTTATTTTGATTTTAAATAAATTTTCTTTTTTTATAATAATTATCCAACCGCAATCGCTCGCAACCGCAAATGCTCGAGGGAATGAGCTTTTGGATTTGAGAGGTTTGGAGCGATACAGAACGGTATAAGGCGTTTTTCATGATTGTTATCAAATGCCGTCAAACACCGACAACGCTATTGCCCGCAAACACTGTGGGTGGTAGCGGATGAACCAATTAACCTCTAAATGGGTTTATAGCAACGTTGCTTTTCTTTTCTCTTTGAGTTGAGCATTGTCTCTGCATATTAGTTTTGATAGATATCTTCTTCTCAAATTTACAATTTAAAGACGAACTCGAATAATTACCACCACAAGAAAACACTGTTTTAGATGAATTGAAACACTATGTGTCTCTCCCTCTCGATTTCATTCCATCTCATCCGATGGTATGTGTATTTGTTTCCCTTTTCTTATGTGTTTTATGTTTAGATGTGTATTTTAGGTTTAAAAAGAAGTGTTAGATGTTTATGAATTGCAATTGTAGGAAAGGGAATTTAGGTTTGTTATGGTGTATCAAATTGTTTTAGAAGTTAAATTTTTAGATGTATGGAAAATAAAAATTATTTGATATAAAACTTATGAAATTATTTTTCAAGTTAAATTTATGTTTTGTAAGAATAAGTTATATATAAAATTAATGAATTTATGATTTGCTCTATCAAATTATTTTACAAGTTTAGGATTGATTTTTTAATAAATTTTTGTTAATTTTTTTTATGAATTTATTTTTTACATATTTTAATTTAATAAATTCGTTTTTATTTCACCATTTATGTTTACAAATAATTGTTAGTTTTTTTTAAAATAAAAAAAAATATTTCGTTTTAAAGATTTTTTTATATTTTATAATGTATTTAGTTATTGTAATTTTATTTAATATTCATACTTTACATTGTTTATTTTAATAAATTCGTTTTGATTTTATAGGTGGATCCACTTTTATACGGAGAGTTATTCGGCGAGGATTTTACGATTTCCGGATCCGGTGGTCATTGCGGATCGGGATCAAGATCGGGGTCGGGTTCGCAATCTGTGGGAACTATCATGCACGGGCTCCACCACGAGCTCCAGCACGAGGTCAACCACGAGCTCCACCACCGCCACCTGTTGACCCACAACTAGACGCACCTCATCCTGTTGATGCGCAGCAGGCGCCTCCACCGCCTCTTATGATGCAGATTGCTGAGCTTTTTCGCCAACATGGTCGTCACGAACGGGTTGACATACTCTATCCGGACAAGCTTCGTGGCACTTTTTGGTATGTTTAATATTTTGAAATCTTTCTAATTAATTTATAATTACATGTTTTAAATAAATTATTAACATTGAAGTATTTTGTTTTATAGGTTTACCGATAACTGTGTCMCTCGTTCGGTCACCAAAGTCATCATCGGCTATTTCCATATGTCGRATGCTAYTTGGACGCAGAKGCCGCAWTKTGTTCGAGATATTTGGTTTGAGTCATGGGCGGTAAGTCAAATTGTA